GCCTTGAGCTTGTGGTCCTCCTGCCTCAGCCTCCTGAGTCTTTGGGATTACAGCCATGCACCACCATGCCCATTTTTCATAAGGAAAAAATGGAAGGAGATATAGTGAAATGGCTTATGATACCCATGGTAATACTAAGGGTAAAATGTCCAAAATATAATCAATTCTTTAGATAAACTCACATTATACATAGCTTTGAACAAAAAAGATAAAAGAATTAGATGTTGATGTCAATGTTTTCAGAAAAAGATGCAGCAATGAATATAAAAGCATTATTATGTTATTACAGATAAAAACAACCAGCCTAACAATATAAATCCCCTTAAAATGCAAACACTATATTATCTCAACATGAATTACAGAATAAGATGTTTTTCTAGTAAATTGTGAAAATTGAAATTCATTTTTAGATAACACTCAGAAAATAAAAAATACTGTTCCTATTTTAATTCAGCATGTATTTCTCAAAATCAGATACACCATGAACATGATGAGTTTAGATTATACTTTTACATCTTCTTTAGCTAACCAAGTGAAAAACCCAATACACACATAGGTACTTTGATCAGTACATAAAATAACAATAGGTAAGCAGTTTAGAAAACAGAACAATTCAAGCAATATAATAATGGTACAGAGGCACCCATTTAACCCAAAAAGAAATATGTGGGCCACAAAATAGTGTTCCATCTAACCTCTAGATAGTCTGTATATTTTGACCTTATAGTAGTCAAAATATTTAGTATTAAAGTAAAGCTCAGGTTCTACTACCTGTAAAGGTCTAATATAGGGCTTGGTTTGTGGCTTGATGGTAGAGCACTTGCCTAGCATTTGTGAGGCACTGGGTTTGATTCTCAGCACCACATTTAATAAATAAAGGTCCATTGACAACTTAAAAAAAAAAAAAAAAGGCCTAATGCAGCAGGGAAAAAAATGCCATTTTATGCTACTAATGATTTTTAACTAAATCTTTTATATTATGTGTTTAGCACATGAAAAATTATATACAGATTTTTAAAAATCAAAAGGGAAATTTCTACATACATTAAACCTATCATTTCTGTCTTTGCACTGCTAATATAGTGTTTAAATTATGCAAACAAACATCCAGTAAACAGTATTTTATTTTATGACACTCTGCGTTAATACAATAAATATACAAAACTTCCAAACCACTGAAAACATGCAACATCAGAGGGACAGATGAAAGGCATTTATACAGAACCAGGACAGTCACCATGATGGCAGCGCAGTATTACTACCCGACAAAATATACACACACCCTAGACAAAGAGTCCAAGTTCCAAATTACAAGTCGTTGAGCAATGATTTTCCAGTGTTCAAACTGTAGTTTTAAATAAAACAGCCATGATTTAATATTGCAAACTGAAAAATGGCCTGGTGCCTACTATGTGAAGACCATTTTAGGACTGGGATACTGGGCCATTTTTAGCTTTAAATATAAAACACTAATAAGTGTCAATTTTTTTGCTGAGTGAAAATGTAATTATTTACTGGTTATTAAGAGAATAGTGAATATAAGAATTTAAAGCTGTTTCATATCTGATCAAACTGTAGGCACTGTCATCATCTCAATGCAGTATTTTTCAAACCATGATTTCTCTCTCAAACTTGTATTAACCCCCAAAATGGTTTTAAAATGGGATTTCCTCCATTTATTCATGAAAAGATATTATGGGTTGGAATTATTCTTTGGGGATTTCTACATAAGAGAAACAATCCAATTCTGAAGGGAAACATAATAGTATTTTCCAAAATCATCTGACATCTTTTATTTGTAGTTCAGAGAAAAACAAAATGGACTTGGGATATAAGTCAATGGTGGCTCTAAGTGCTCTTGTACTCTGTGGTTAGTATTTTGAACGTCTGTAGAATCCACCCTCAATAAAGCACACTGATGAAACAGATTTTCATTAAGATTATAGGCTCTAAAAAAATAGAAGTGCTGAGTTGGTTGAAAATGTAGATGAAGATTATCATTGATCAGAAATACTTATAAAAACAGCTTTAAATTCATATTCTGAATCACATTTTCTTCAGAATAGAAGAAATATCTTCCAACTATTTTATTACTCAATAAAGTATCAAATAAATCAAATGTAAACACCATCTGGATGTATCTGCATTACCTAGTATCACACAGAGCTTCTTCATAAATAGTAAGAACTTGGCATCCCACCCCCGGCAGGAAATTACTTTAATTCCAGATTTAGGAAGAGAATAAAAGTGACTTAACCATTTATGTTTTAAAAAAGGGGAATTTGCTGTCTCAAATAATAGAGTCCCATGGACCATCCTTACTGAAAATCAAGTTGAATAAATCACTACCTGTCATTCTAGAATCTAAAATTAGCTGAAGACTTTCATAATACAGTAGCATCACTTACAAATGCTTTTGATTCATTTAATCTGTACTAAAAACAACTTAAAGTTTGAACCCATGTATACCATAAGAATGAAGTTCTATGCTGCATAGTAACAATTTAAACATGATTATGTTCACAATTAATGCATTTAACTGTATTTGTATTTATTTGCTTGGTGCAATGTTTTGTTTTTCCTATTGCTGAATTTTAAATGTATTCAGTCTGTCTCAAAAAGTGAAGACTTAGGTGACTTAGGGATTCAAGTATATTAGAAATGCTAGGGTCTTTTTATTTTTAATGCCACTAGAAATGAGAGAATAAAAGAAAAGTCCCTTAAATACTGAATGTTCTTTATAGACAAGAGTTAGGCTAGCTTTTAATACCTCTGTCAAAAATCACACACACACACACACAAACACACACCCCAAAATAAGCTGCCAAACACAATCTCAGTCCAATTAAAAAGAGTAGCCACAAGAATGTATGGAAGTCTCCATACAGTAAAATTTTACTGTGTGAATACCAAAAATTAAAAGATAAAATAAAAGGAATTATTGTCACTACATTCCATTGCATTAACTACCTTCTTTTTGGATAATGCACTGCATATTATATTAAAGTCTCATATTGTACCCCAATAAATTTTTATTTAAAAGAAACTATTACATAAAATCATTTCTATGATTCCATAAACAACCTTTGCTTCTACAACTATAAGCAGTACAGAACCCAAAATACTAAGTCTTTTAATTTAAGAAACATAGTACCCATGCAAGATAAGAGACTGTTATCAAAATATCAACTACTCTCAAAAAATAAAATAAAAGGAAGATAAAATATACGTTATCTACCAAAGCACACAGGCTCTTCACTGGTGACTGAAACTAGTAACAAGCGAGCCAATTTAAAAATCCATAAGTCTCTGCTGGCCTACTTCTTTCAATATAAATAGGGGAAAAAGAACAAAACACTGCTTTACTATTCCAATGTGTAATCCTTATCTCTAAAGATTCTTGAAAGAACTACAATTAGTGCTAAGTGCTTTTTTCATCGTAAGTAACATATTAATTTCAGTGTGTCACCACTGAAATAATTTGCTGAACATCATCCCCCAAAAAATATGGAGAATATTTATTTAGCGTGTAATATTTTTTTTTCTGCAAGGGGCATTGAAATATTAAGAAACTATTAGGTCAAGTAATAAGACAAGGACATTTTTCTGATTTTAGCCCATGCACGTGTGAATGGGAAATATCCATGCTGTGTGTATTGTGTGTTTCCAACATAAAAATATTTGTAAATACAGTAACTGGAGAGAAAAGTACAGTCAAAAGGTAACAGTGTACTGTGGGAAGGTTCTCTAGATTTGGTTACCCTTGAAGGCATTCTGAGCTGCACTCGTTGCTGCAGTGGAAGCTGCATTTGCAGCTGCGGTCTGGACAGTTTTGTTGGACATCACGCCTGTTGCAAACTCTTGCTGGGCCTTCTCAAAACTAGCACCTGTTGTGCGATACAGTCCATGTACCTACGGAGGCACAAGAAAGTGGAGAAGATGAGCAGCAATCTACACATTCACTTCCAGCAGCTTGAAATTAATCTCAATGTTATTCAGAGATACAAGGACTAGATTCCAGTCAGGATTCCTATGGTCAGGAACAATAGCCACCATGCTGGCACGAATATTGAAATGTTTTCCAAATACAGGTTTCTTATTTTCTTCCCCAAGCAGAAGACATAATTATGGTAACTAGAACCAAAAATAATTTAAAGAACAATTTCTGGACCAACTACAAAAGCTATGTTTTCTTTTGTACTTAGTTCATTAAGATATGAACGACATTAGAACAGAATGGTTTAAACATAACAAAAGAGACAATCTGACTTTAATTTATGGCCCCAGACAATTTGAAGAGAACAATACCATATCTATTTCTAATTTGGTCACATACACAGCATGATTATAATCTAGTGATACCATTTGATCATTTAGCAAAGAAAGCACTATAAACATATTGTTGCTGTCCACTATATCATTTAACATTCTGGGTATAATAAGTCCTAAAGGATTTATGAAGAAATGATGTGGGGAATTGTCTCTCCATACTGATCTGCTACTAAAATCTTGAAGTTTATTTTCATGAGCAGGGTTCAAAACTTTTCTATCATTTTAAGCTGCATACTCAAACTATGAAGCCCATCAGTACATATCATGAGCCACTTAACACAAATTTTAAAAAGAAACTAATAATGTAAATTAAAACAAGCGTTCATTACATGACTAAAAACTTTGGGGGTGGGCAATAAGTGAACCAGCAATTAAACTGCACTGTGATTAGAACTAAATTAGAAGGCTCCCCCAAATGCAGTCAATGCATGTTTTAGGAAGGGCTAAGTACACCCAAGTGGATGTGGAATAAGAAAAAGTAGAATAGGTCACAGCTCACGTCAAGCACAGATACCAGGAAGTAGTTTCAAGAAGACAGAGCTCAGATAGGATAGGCTGACCTGGGGGGAAGGGAAATGATAAGTTCTAAATATTCATTTACTCCACAAGTGTCTACAGAATGTCTACTTTTGGCCTACTACAGCAGGCAGGTGAAGATTTGGTTTGGAGTTCAGGAGAGGAATGGGCTGAAGACATGAACTTGGAAACCACTGATATACATTATCAACTAAAGATCTGTGTTCTCTCTCTCGGAATTCTTATGCTGAAATCCCAGTCCCCTATATGATGGTAGTGGAAGGTAGGCACTTGGGTGAAGCCCTCATGAATGGGATTAGTGCTCTATAAGAGAGAGCTCTCCTGTCTCTCTTACCACATCAGGACACAGAAGATGGCAATTTTTGAATCAGGAAGCAGGCCTCAACCTGATACTGAATCTTCTCTAATGTGCCTTGATGTTACATTTCCCAGCCTCCAGAATTGTGAGAAAAAAATTTTTTTAATGTTCTTTAAGTCACCCAATCTATGATATTTTTGTTGGAGTAGCCCAAAGGAACTAAGGTACCATATAAATGGTAGCTGAAATCTTGGCCTGGATGAAACTGTGTTTAAAGAACATAAAGTAGAAAGAAAAGAAAGTCAGATACAGAAACCTATTAAGGTACTAGTATTTGAAAGGCATCTAAAGCAAGGAGGAATGATTAGAAGAGAAATGGCAATAACAGCCAGGTTCTTCTTACTAATGCCAAGGGAAGAAACTGTGTTCAAGAATGAAATCCTGGGTAAAAGATAAAAATACAAAGACAGCCAGGTGGGGTGGCGCATGCCTATAATCCTAGAGACTCAAGAGGCTCAGGCAGGAGGATCACAAGTTCAAAGCCAGACTCAGCAACTTAGTGAGGCCCTAAGCAACTTAGCAAGACCATGGCTCAAAAAATATTAAGGGCTAGGGATGTGACTCAATGATAAAATGGCTCTGGAGTCAATCCCCAGTACAAAAACACAAAAGCAAAAACAAAGACACAGCCAGCTCCAAGTACTTCTGATGTAGTGGTGAAAGTGAATGCCATATTACTATGATTGAAGTATAAAATGGTCAGGGAGAGAAAGAGCACCAACAAATACACACACTGGTAAACCCTCCAATTCTTTTTCCCTAGTACTTTAGCACTACCGTAAGTTTAGAAGTCATTATTTTTATTCCCTTTTCAAACCAAGTTTTCCATAGAAAATTAAAGATACAAACAAATTACTACTCCTATGTGGGAGAAATATAGGTCACAGTGAGTACAAATGATTGGATCCTGGAAAATAAGTGTATTAAAGAAATTTAATAAACCTTCTTTACACACTAAACCCAGTCACAGTGTAATGCAAGTACAAGTCCATTCGCCAGTCCCACCCCCTCTTCCCACAAGTCTGTGGGCATGTAACAAATAAATGTGACTTCGAACTTGTTTCACTATTATTTTCTTTCTCAAACTTGTATTAAATTGATCAGCTGGTGTATGTGTTCATGGCATCAGGGTTTAATTACTTAAAATGTAACCCAGAGTCTGGCAGAGCAGAGAGGTAAGGAGCAGCATATGCTTCCAACAGTCTATATCCATATAGACCCAGAGAGCCACCTAGAGGGAAAAGGCCACATACATATTCTGTGTATAATGCTCAAATGGATATAAATCCATTAAAGGGTGACTTCTTTATTCCAGGGCCCCATGAAAGATAATAAGCCAATCATGATGATCAACATTTCAAAAGACTTATTGTCCTGCTGTTTCAGCTGTATATATAGCAATGATTCACATTTCTTAGGAAATCAGGGACAAAACCTTAACACATAGGACTATAATATTTATTTTATTTCATTTCATTTTATTTTTTGGTACTGGGGATTGAATTCAGGGATTCTCTATCTCTAAGCTATGCCCCAGCCCTTTTTAGTTTTTATTTTGAGGCAGGGTCTTTCTAAGTTGCCCAGGCAGGTCTTGAACTTGTATCCCTCTTCTCAGCCTCCTAAATCACTGGGATTACAGGTGTGCATCACCATGCCTAGCTAAAAAACTATGATTTTTTTAAAAAAAAATAGCTGGGCACAGTGGTACACACCTATAATCCCAGCAATTTAGGAGGCTGAGCAGAAAGATCACAAGTTTGAATCCAGTCTTGGCAACATAGACTCTGTCTCAAAAAATAAAAAGAATGAGGATGTAGCTCAGTGGTAAAGTGCCCCTGGGTTCAAGTCCAATACCAAAAAATAAAATAAACAACTTAAATACTTGCAATCTTTCCTATTTATGAGAAATGTATTGACCTTAATATTTAGTTCTGTAAGTATCACAGGAAGGGCAACAGATTTGGTATCTACTAATTCTTATTTCCAGCTGACTGATCAACATTTGAAACTTCACCTTTACATCCCATAGAACAAGAATATGTGTTGTCCTATCTGCTCCTCAGAGTTTACCTATGGATCAAATCAGAATATATACCAATAAGTTAAATAATATAAATTAATTTTAAAGTGTCTGCATAAGCGTCACAGCCAGGTGGAGATGCACCTGTTTCTGTTCATGTGCCTGCACGCTCACTGTGGCTGTGTATGGCAACAAAAAGCTGTAAACCGCAGAAAGTGAAGAACCATGGCACTTTATATGAAATAATCCAAACACATGTCTCCAATATGGCAGGTAGAATACCTTTTCAAGAAATGACATTTTGCCAAGTGCCATGGCACACACCTGTAATCCCAGCAGCTCAGGAGGATCGCAAGTTCAAAGCCAGCCTCAGCAACTTAGCAAGGCCCTAAGCAACTCAACTCAACCCTAAGACCCCGTGTCCTAATAAAATACAAAAAAGGGACCCCGTGTCCTAATAAAATACAAAAAAGGGGCTGGGGGATATGGCTCATGATTGAGTACCCCAAGTTCAATCCTTAGTACCAAAAAAAAAAAAGAGAGAGAGAGAGAGAAAGAAAATCACATTTCTATTAATATAAGACCCCTGTCATATCAAAGTTATTTTAACTTTTATAAAAGCTAGTAAAATAAAAATGAGTTTTAAAATTATTTTTTCACATTCTTGTTTTGAGTTTTTAAAAAACATATGAATCTCTAAGTATACATTTTTCTAATTAAACATTTCCTAGAAACCCAGTATGAACTCTCCTGCCCATAGATAGGGTCAGATATTCTTTTCATAACCCAGTTTCATGCAGTTGAAACCCACTCCTCCTTTGACATCTCAGGACTGCTGCTCTGTCCTCTCCTGTGCCTGCACTAGCTGTGCTCTCCCTTCTGCAAGCACCTCCAGCACTTTGTACAACTTAGGGCATGTACACTGTTCTTCTGCAGGGTTCATCTACTTGTCTCATACCCACATGCTTTTAGTTATCTGAGGGCAAAGGGCTATTTTTTACTTGTTGTTACACCCCCTTATAAGACATAGCATAGTAACTTGCAGTAGAAGTCACTGAATAATAATTTGCCTATCTGGAATTAAATGGTCCAATATTGACCTCATTATTAAAAATAAAAGTTACCAAATAAGTAAGTGCAATACGACTCTAACAGACTTCCTGTGTTACAAGGTAAAATGGTTAGTTTGCAGTTACCTCAGAGGCTAAGTGTTCTAGAAGCAAACATACTATTTCATTCCTACCAGGAAAAGTAGAAAATAACAAGTGCTGGCAGGGATGTAGAACACTGCTGATTGGAATGTAAAATGATATAGGTACTGCAGAAAAGAGTCTGGAGGTTCTTCAAACAGCTAAACAGAAAATTACCATTATGACCATGTAACAATTCCACGTCTAGGTATATACACAAAAGAAGTGAAAGCAAGGACTCAAACAGTTCCTTCTAGACCAACCTTCACAAGCAGTATTATTCACAGAAGCCAAAAAGTGGGAAAAACCAAGTGTCTGGGCTGGGATGTGGCTCAGTGATAGAGCACTTGACTAGCATTGGCCCTGGGTTTGATCCCCAGCACCACACACACATACACACACACACACACACACAAAAGTGTCCCACACATGATTAAATAATATAGTGTATATACATATACATAGTGGAATAATG